GGGGGGAGGCGGCGGGCCCGCCCCGGGACCGACACCACGCGTCGCCCACCTGGATGAGGGGGGCGGGAGGGAGGAAGCCTGGTTTGTCACCCCGGTTCGTACCGGGAAACACCCCACAGGGCCCCCTCATTGGCATTTAATCGGGGAGCTGGGGGGGCTGGCCTGGGTCCCTGCGGACCTGAAGTAGTCACCCGGATCTTCCGAGGGAGCAGATTTGCAAGACAATCCGCCCAGCAGCAAAGGCGCTGCTGGCGGGGTGTTTGTACGCGCTCACCTGGTCGCCCCGCGAGCCCTAGACCTGTTTATTCCCTCCCTTCCCGGCTGCTTCCTCCAGCCCCCCCCCCCCAACCCGTTTTTGAACGACACTTTTCTTTTAAAAGAAAAGAGGAAGAGGATGCAGACACACACCGCACACACATACACCTACCTGAGGATCTCTCTCTATCTGGTCATTTTACTGTCGGCCTAACAAAAAGAAAGAGGTACCTGCAAGTGAAATGACGACTAAGTTATAACCGATTAAAGGAAATTGCATGTTGGATTTTTTTTTTTTTTTGGAACCAGAATCTATTGTAAACTGCGATGTTCGTGTACTTTCTGGTAACTTGCAGAATTTAAGACCAAAACTTATTTTTTTAATATGTAAGCTTACTAATCTGTTGAATGTTTATCGAAAAAATTCTTAACTTCCGCTTAGTATCATTTTATGCGGAGATAAGTTAATACCCAAAGCAAACTACAGTATAATAGATACCAGAGGCTGGATAAAGCGTTGATATTGCTTTTGCTCTTTTGATAATTCTTGGTTTAAAAAATACTATATAGATCTTAATCTTTTTCTCATTCACATTGATTTCCAGTTGACTTACAATGTTTGTCTTCTGTAGTTTTCCACGTGGAATGTAAAAATGAGTGTTTTCTCAATATTTTCTGATTTGATTTAATAAGGAGAACCAGACTTTGTGCAACAGTGTTTTGCTTTTTATATGTGTAGTCTTAGTCTCAGAACCCTATGATGTAGGTAACTTTTGAGTTTTATAGAAGAGACAGAAACTTAGTAACATTACTTGTAACTTGTCCTAGGTTATGCAAGTAGTAAGCTGACAATTGAACCCAGGTGTCTTTCTGCTGGTCTTCTCAGCAGTGATATTTCATTTATGGCCTGAAAGTTTTCAGTTTTACACAAGTTGTCTGGAAAATACAGTGACTGTATTAGTACAGATTCAGTATTCAATGTCTCTTCCTGTATTGTTGCATGTTTTGTTCTTGTTGAGACAGTGTGCCTCCTCCTGTTTGATTCTTAAATATTTCCTAAAAATACCAAGTCAGTAACAGTGCCCATCAAAATTTTTTGTATTCAAGTTTCCTCAGTAGTCCCAAAGTAGATATCTCCACAGCTGTAGTCAATCGAGATTCCTGTACTGCATTTGGTGATTATGTGTATTTAGTCATGCCTATTGTTCAAAAGGGTAGTACCCAGACTATCCTTGGGGGGGGGGGTGCACTTGACTGACCAAACCTGTTGTTTTGTAAAACATTTGAGCCTTGACCTTGTCCTCTTGAGTGTCTTTTTATTTACTGCTCTTTCTTTTTAAGTGAAAGTTTGGTTCCAGACCTGCCCAACTATGTTTGCATAAGGCCAAGGATATCTATGAATACAACCCAACACAGAGTTGTAAACTGAAAATATTAGGTTTTTGTGTGGATAACATGATTATGTGGACCTTTGAGAACTGCAGATAATAATGATAGTATCTTGTCAGGAGATTGGACATCTCTGGAACAGATTTCATTGGTTTAAAGTGAGGCTTTGTGCGGCAAGAATGCTTAAATAGGTGATGCCCTATGCTCCGATTGTATGTTAGGAGTTGATCGTGTTGGAACACCACACACTTGATGGTGTTAAATAGAACCACTTGATTAAAGGGGTGACTGCCAGGTCTTTTGTAAAGGTGTGGTTTGACAGTCTGATTATATGTGGCCTTAAGATAATAACTGACAGGAAGCAAGTAACTTATTTCTGACCATACTTTCTTTCCTTAGTGATTTTTAGCTCTTAATTGCTTTATTGAAGAAACTCTAAATTTTCTTTTTTAAGTATGAACTAAATTACTTCCTAAAAGTGCAGATTAAATGCTTGATTTTATCACCTTAATTGTTGGTTAATTTTAGAGTAAAGAGCTAGGGAAATTGTTATCCTAATGAGCATATATATTTTTTTTCTTCGTTTTACGGGGGTTATTAAACCATTACGGACTTGGGATTTGAGGGAGTAATATCACCAGGGAATTTATTAATTTTATAACCAATTAGGATCCTTTCTGAGGGCCACATTGTCACCAGTTTGGACATAAGAACCCTTTCAAACTGACTACAGTGTCTTTTGATACTTTAGGCTCACCTCTTTATCTTGGAGCACTTTCTTGTAAAAGGTTCCCTTGGCTGCTTTTGCTGTGCCATCTGGAAAGGACTGTTTATCCAAGGAGTCTTGGTCTTTTCAATGAGAAATGATATATGTATACATGTATGTATGTATATATATATATAAAGATCCGAAAGTTTGGCATAATCATTGCTGCCTGAATATTACTGTTTCTAGACTTGTTTGAAAGGATAGAACTAAGAATTTATTTAGACAAGGTCTCACTCTGGAACTCACATCCTTCTACCTCTGCCCTCAGGTGCTAGGCTGCCACACCTAGCCATTTTGCATTTGTTTAATCCTGAGTTCATAGTGATATAGCCAATTCAAATTAGCAAGATACACTTTTGTCATCTTTGATTCTACTTTATCAAAAATGAAGTTTTTTTTAATTTTTTTTAATCTTTTTTTTGAGACAGGGTTTCTCTGTAGCTTTTGGAGCCTGTCCTGGAATTAGGTCTTGTAGACCAGACTGGCCTCAAACTCACAGAGATCCGCCTGCCTCTGCCTCCCGAGTTCTGGGATTAAAGGTGTGCACCACCATCGCCCTGTCTAAAAATGAAGATCTTGCTAACAAAAGTATGTTTGTTTTCTGCTCTATTTAAATCATTTAAAAATTGCAATACCAGTACTACTGATTTTTACTAAAATTGGAGATTTATTTTAGGTTATGTTTTTTAATATTTACCATTTTTTGTGTGGGGGTGTTTTGCATACTTATGTGTCTGTGTACCACATATGTACCTGTTGCCCTCAAAGTCTGGAAGAGGGTGTTAGAACCCCTGGAACTAGAGTTACAGTTGGTTGTGAGCTGCCGTATGGGTATCAGGAACTGAGCCTGGGTCCTCTGCGTGGAAGCAAGTACTTAATTGCTAAGCCATCTCTCTAGCCTCAGGCTTTTAGTTTTGAATGTATAAAATACATACATAGTTCTAAAATAATACTGTAAAAATTATGCCTTTAGTCAGGCGGTGGTAGCACACGCTTTTAATCCCAGGCAGGAAACAGGCAGGCGGATGTCTGTGAGTTTGAGGCCAGCCTGGTCAACAAGAGCTGATTCCAGGACAGGTTCCAAAGTCACAGAGAAACCCTGTCTTGAAAAACAATCAAAAAAACAATACCTTTAGAACCTACACTTAAAGCTGAGTGTTTAATCCCAGTACTCGGGAGGCAGAGGCAGGCCAATCTCTGTGAGTTCTAGGCCCGCCTGGTGTACGGAGCAAGTTGCAGGACATGCTCCAAACCCTGTCTTGAAAAACAGACCAAAAAAAAAAAAACCTTCAGAAAACTCCACTCAAGGGCATAGGTAGAGACTATAGTACTATCAGAAATCAAAATCAAAACCTTGGCTCAAGTGCCAGAGGGTTAGCAGTAGGGTAGGCTGAAGCCACATAGTACTACAGTTTTACAGTTGCATTCAGATGCCTTTGGCTAATCTTCAGAAATTTGCAGAGTAGATTTGAAGCCTGCTATTGCAGGTGTCATATATTCATGAAAGAAAAACTGCAATTATTACTTGGAAAAACCTTGTTCTGGGGAATGGGAGTAGCTCTGTGGATAAAGTACCTGCTATAGCAAGTGTGTAGACCTGGGTTCAAATCCCTAGCACCAGTGTGTGGAGAAGTGGAAGCCTAGGATTTGAGGTGTGTGTAGAAGTAGCAGGATCCTGAGATTTGCTAGACAGCCAGTCGAGCCGGTAGACGATCTCAGGAAAGTAATAGAGGAAGACAGGAGACTAACCTTGTACCTTCCTTGTTCCCCACTCAAATCATCCTTAAAGCTGAATATATTTGATAAATGTTTGTGAATATTTGCTTTTATACTATACAACAAAATTGGCATGCATATGCTGTCTGCAGATGTAAAGGTCGTTTGGACACATGATCAATGAAGATAACACATTTTGTTTGGATTAGATAAATTGTGTTAAAACTCATAATTATGTGGAATGAAATCCTGTGTCCATAGTTTTCAGAGGAAGCAGTGGTTGGCTAAAGTATAACCATGCAGCAGCTATAGTTTTTGTAGTATGCTGTGTGGGCTAATCTGATTGTAATTACTAGCCATTGCTGTACCTTTCCTGTGCTAAATATTTTGTGAATTATCTCAGTTAAGGCTCAGTTTAACACTTAGATATTTTTACTAGTATTTTATTTTGCAAGTAAAGAAACTGATAGCTAGAAGAATTAAATGACATGTCTAAGATGTCACAGCTAGTGAGTGGCAGACCCAGGTTTCAAATTCAAGTGTATTTTCAGAGTTAGCACTCATCTAGTTGCTGTACCTCACAACTGAGTATAACAAGTTAAGACAATGAACTTATTTCCGGAACTATATGTAAGGAACCACATGACTTTACATTATAGGGTAGGAACACTGAAATTGTAGACCAGAAGTCACAAGTATTTGTCATTATCTATTATAAGTCCTTAGATTTTCCTTCTAAGAAACTTGGGAGTCCTGACCCTGTGTCAAGAATTGTCTGTAAGATAAGATTTTATTTAAAAGTGTCAGAAATCAAGATGAATTGTTAAGTGGATAGGTTTGTTTAAAAAAAAAAAGCGGGAAATTACAGTTGGGGGAGTGATTAAACATCCTTTTTTTTTCCCTCCTCCTTTTTCCTTTTTTTTTTTTTTTTTTTTTTTTTTTTTGAGACAAGGTTTCTGTAGCTTTGGAGCCTGTCCTGGAACTCACTCTCTCAGCCGCTTGTCTTTTCCTCCTGAGTGCTGGGTTAAAGGGATGCTCCACCACCACCCAACTAATGTCAATTCTTATTAGAATCCAGGACTGTAGCCCAGCAGGTGGGGTTCTGGCATCGTGTAAACTGAAGGTAGTAACAGACATGATGAGCCTGTAATGCCAG